AACCACAACCACGCGCATCGTGGTGGTGGTGGCGGCGGCCATCGGCAACGCAGCGCGCACAGCGAGTCGGAGCTCGTGCTCTCCCGTCACGCGCGTGTGCAGCAGCTGAAGCAGCAGCCACGCCACACTGGCGCAACCAGCGGTGCAACCAACGGCAACACACGCGCGGACGGACCCCGTTTGAGACACCACCACGCGACCGCAGAGTCCAACGGCAACGACAGGAATGACAATGACAACGACGATGACGACGATGATGACTTTGACGACGAAGGTGATGATGGCACAAACGACGTTCCGCTGACGGAAGGGACGACTAGGAGCACAGGTGACCTCAGCCACTCCAACTTGGCGGACATGAGCACCCAGTCTGTACCGCTGCTGTGGTCGCCGCAGACGGCACACCGTCTTGCAGGCAACCTGACCCAGAGCCGGTCCCCAACACCAAGCCGCTCCCAGATGCACCAGCGCAACCTCACCCGCGACCCGTCCAAACGCGTCGACGACGACGAAGAAATGTGCGCCATGGATGTATGCTCGTCCGGTCACCCGCTCGTATGTGTGTGTGTCTGTGTGTGTGTGTGTGTGTCTGTCTGTCTGTGTGTGTGTGTGTGTGTGTGTGTGTGTATGTCTGTCTGGCTGTGTGTGTGTGTGTGTGTGTGTGTGTGTGTGTGTGTGTGTGTGTGTGTGTTGTCGTCATACACTCCATTCCACATGATGCTTTCCTCCTCACACGGTTCACATCTCACTCTTTGCTCACCGTCTTTACGTGAACACCCCCGTCATCCTCATTCACCTTCATCATCCCCAACAGCGTTCAGCGGCGGCGGACGGTGAGCGACGCTGCGCAGTGGCTTCGCGCCAAACGCCAAAGCGACCTGCACCGCGAACTCTTGCCAGCATCAGCAAAGGTGTGCGTGTGTGTGCGTGTGTGCAGGAACTTACTTGTGTGACTTGTCATCTCTGCATCCCCATCTTGTGCTCACGCTGCACCACTGCCTCCTGAATCAACACCATTCTGTCTTCCATCCGTCAGGGCGCACGGCGACACGCCCTCACACACGCCAGCGGCAGCACCAGCAAGTTCTGCGCCGTCTGCTCCCGAGTTCTCGTACGTCATGACAGTTTCACCTTTCTCGCTAATCAAATTGCAGTATCAATAGCAGTACCATCACTCTTCTTTAGCTCGCCTGTTTGCCCCAATACCACCTCCCACCCATCCTTACGTCGCCACCTGCTTCTCCCTCCCTTTATCTCCCTCCACTTTACCTCCCTCCACTTTACCTCCATTTCCTTCACCTTTGCCCCCCCCCCGTCCTCGTTGGGCAGTGGGGCATCACACGCCCCTACCGCTGCTCGGAGTGCGGCCTTGAGTTCCACCGCGCGTGCGAGCCGATGGCGCCGGCGTGTCTCGGGCGAACAGGAAGCATGGTCTCTCTCGATTCGCCCTCGGACGGGCCCATCCTCGACCAGTGAGCAGCCGCCCTCACGTGACAGAGGGAGAGATGGGCAGATGAAGCAGTGCACTCCACTTCTGACTTGCCTATTCGTTGTCGCTGCCTGTCAACTCACTCTCTTTTGCACACATATACACACGCACATGCCTGCTGCCACCCCCAGGACTGCACACCTCCTTCGCGTCTGCAGTGAGTCCTGCACCGGTGATGGGCGTCCCTGCATATGCGCTGTGTTGATCACATCACTTCACATCACGCCATGCCGTCTGCTCATTGTCCATTGCCGCGTGCGTGTGCATGTGTGATCGTGCGTGTGTTCGTGTTTTGCAGTCGCGTCGGCGGACTCCCTTGCGCGTCGAAGTCTCTTCCGTAAGTGGAATTGTGTGCGGTGCACCAGTACAATGGATCTGTGGCCACCGAACACACACACGCACACACACACACACACGCACACACACACACACACACACTCACACCCACACACACCCACACACACACACACACATACGCACGCACGCACAATCACGCACACATACACACACACGCACAATCACGCGACGCGTCTCACCTCGCTTCCCCCCCCCCAACTGCAGGCGTCCCTGATCCGTTTGCGATCGTGCACATGGACGGAGAGCGGTTCACAACCGCGGTAGGGACACACAACGACACGTGTACACGAGAATTGTGAATTGTGAATGCAGAGGTGTTTGGCTGTGTGAACGTGCAGGATCTTGTCAATAAGTGTCTGTGACCGTGTTTTTCATTGTGTTGTTTCAGTGAACACAACACGTGCTTGAAGTCGCGTGCCTGTTGTGTCTGCACACCATCACCATGTCGTCTCTGCCGTCCCGGCACCACCGCCAACGCACAGGTGGCGCGCAAGACGTTTGCCCCGCAGTGGATGACGGAGCGGGACATGTACGTCACAGCGGTACGTTTGCAACAACGAGGAAGTCGAGGGCCGATGAAAAGGCTCACGTGCGTTGCATTGACTGTGCTTTGCTCACTCACATTCGCTCTTGTTTAACTCACACACACACACACTTTCTCTCTCTCTCACCCACACACACACACACACACACTCGCGCTCACACTCACACTCGCACACACTCTCTCTCTTTCTCTCACCCACACACTTACACACACACACACCACCAGTCGAGCACGCTGAAGATTCTTGTGTTTGATGCGCGCAAGTTTGAGGAGGGCCGCTGGAACGGGTTCCTCGGCACAGCCGTCATCCCGGCTGCAGCGTTCATCGACTCCACCTCCCTCGGCGATGGCGCCACGAAGGTGCTCACATTCCGCCTGCGGAAACTGAAGGCGACGGACGTGGTGACGGGGACGGTGTGCGTGAAGGTGCGCGTGCTGCGACGGAATGTGGATCTCAGCAAGACGGCGCCAATGACAACACCACGCGCAGACTCACCGCGCACCATGGCACGGTGCGACCGACCCTCATGCTCGGACGTGTTCATGCCCTGCACGCGCTGTGTGCTGTGTTGGTGCTGTTTAACCCACAGGCTTTTGTGTTTGTGCAGGTTCGCACCCTCACCATCACAATCTCACCCACGATATCATGCGCTCTTGCTCGCACACACACAAATCACACACCCCATGTGTGTGTGTGTTTATGTGTGTGTGTGTGTGTGTGTGTGTGTGTGTGTGTGTGTGTGTGTGATGGTGAGGGTGCGAGCCTGCGCACACACACAAGCGTGTGGGTGAAACAGCACCAACACAGCACACAGCGCGTGCGGGGCATGTACACGTGCGAGCATGTGGGTCGGTCGCACCGTGCCATGTTGCGCGCGGAGTCTGCGCGTG